GCCCTCAACTACAGGATCAGCGTGAGTCATGCTAGCCCTCAACTACAGGATCAGCGTGAGTCATGCTAGCCCTCAACTACAGGATCAGTGTGAGTCATGCTAGCTTTTAACTAGAGGATCAGCGTGAGTCATGCTAGCCCTTAACTACAGGATTAGCGTGAGTCATGCTAGCCCCCAACTACAGGATCAGCGTGAGTCATGCTAGCCCTCAACTGCAGGATCAGCGTGAGTCATATTAGCCCTTAACTACAGGATCAGCGTGAGTCATGCTAGCCCTTAACTAGAGGATTGGCGTGAGTCATTATTATTGCAAGAGTTGCGTATCATGTTTCCACTCCAACACAGAAATAGCATGTGCAACACTTGAGCGATGGCGCGCGTCACTCCACGTTGTGGCGCATTGTAGCAGCGGTAATGAAAATGCTTTTTAATCTTTCCGCGACTGTGTGCCAGTACTTCTTTTCAATTAATTTTGTTTTCTATAACGTGAAGAGTCAGTATCAGGCGCTTTCAGTCACGGAAGACCCTCGCTTATCAGAATAAATATTGTTGCAGTCTGGGCTAGCGTCTTTACATAAATTACTTGTCACAAACTGATCGCAGCTTGACTGCGCTATAAAAAAGTACAAAATTCATCTAGTATCTCAATGAAAAATTTCTGTTGCAGGTTGCGGAACTGAAGCGAGTAAACCGCATCCAGAAGGACTCTGAATTCCACGCGCTCCGAAGCGTCAAGATTCCTGTGAAACCGAACTCCGAGCTCAGCGAGATCCTGGATGATGAGGCGGCGCAGGATGCTGGGATTGCCGGATCTCCCGGTCCTGTAGCTTCTAGGACTCAATCTCTGTCTTCTGTAAGGAGCTTGTCCAGCTGCACTGCAGACGCCGACGACAGCGACTCCTGCGTTGGTTATATCAGCATCCAGCAGATTCTTAGAGAGAAGAACTCTAGAAGAGAAGCGCGACATTTTTTAGAGAATATGCGCAGAGATCTCGTGCGCATCAAAGAGAAAGTTGTGAGCCAGAAGTCGTCGCTTGACGAGGCGACGGCAGCGCTCACGGACCCGCGGTTCGTGCCGCTGAAGGACAGCGCAACGCGTGAGGGCGAGGGGGTGTCGTGGTGGCGGCTCTTCCTGTGTGCAATACTAGCCTTGTTACTCCTGCCTTTAGCTTATCTCGTATACTTGCTCTATTTATAGCTTCTTGTTAAATCCTAGACTTCCGATCAATTTAACCTATTTAGGGTATTTTTTTAGTAAAGTTTATACGTTGTTTCCAATTTCTTATTTATCATCCTTCAATGCTGAAATGCAAAAGAAGAATGGAATTTGATTGTCAGTACTATTGTTTGTTCATGATGTTTATATGACCACAAAATAAATGTACTTTCTGAAAGTAACTGTGAGCACTGCGTCGCATCAATTGTTGTGCGTTCGATTTCTCGTGATTTCTCTGAAATATGACGAAGGAATGGAACAATGATAAAGTTGGGATTTACGTAGAAAACCACAAAACCTTGTGTGTTTAAAGAGTGCAATGATATGTATTCAAGTGTTTCAGGAAAAAGTGTTCGGAGAAGTAAAAAATCAAGTCAATGGAGGAAAAAAAAGATTTTCTGCATCTTAGCAGATCTCTGTAAAATTTTAAGACCAAACATGAATGGAATACCTATTTGGGATCCTAAATTAATTTCTAATTTCTTGCAAACGATCGCTTCTGCTTACTTTTACATCGTAATTTCACAACGGCCGCGAAAGACTACTAGTGTATCCTACCTTTCGCTTACAACGCATTTCAAAACGAGTTCTTGCATTGCTAATCCAAATAGTATCAACACTCGTTGCTGTGCTAATTTTCGATCAGCTGTGCCTCAGTGCGCACACAATGGGAAAGTGAATGACAAAGCGTTTCGTGTGTTATTGCGCTCAGCTGTAAACTAAGGATGTGACGAAGATTAGTGTAAAAATTCTTTAGAGTTGTAATAAAGAAACGAGTTATCTGATATATTTTCCATTAAATTGTTGGCAGCTAATAAAACCTCCGACAAGTGACAAGGCTATGTTAACAGATATACTCTGGGTCTGGCTCTTTCTTCAACTTTCAAGCACGGTGCTACCGTTCAAGGTTCACCGTTAACTACGTATACGTTGTGGAATTTTTTCAATTATAGAACCTTAAAGTTAACAAAACAAAGCATAAATTCTCAATAGGATAAATTGAATTTGTGTATTTGAAGAAGAGTTCAGCTTATTGCATGTAAAAAAGTTTGGTAGTACTTTCTTTAGCCGCTTTACCGTGAGACACGACTCAGTCAGGAGTCAGTACGACACGAGCCTGAGGTAACTGTGTAAATATCAATTACTGTAGGAGTGACGACTGACGTGAGGCTGTAACTACGGTTAATGACTAAGGTAACAGTTTGGCATTATTGGTTACTGACTGAGTGACTGACAAGTGACAACCATTAGTACCTAACAGGTGAGGTAAGTTGGTTTGGTAACTGACATCAGTATTCAGTTACTGACAAGTGACAAGTGAGTGAAGTGACAAGGGACAATGTCAAGTTGTTAAGAACAAACATCTTGAAACCAGTCACCACTCACCAGGACTGGCAGGACACATGACTAGCTATTCTATTGAGTTGCCAGCCTCCAAGTCCAAGGCAGAAGGCCTGAGCTTACTAGCTTAGTGAGCTAAAGTAAATGGGATTGGGATGCATTGCATGCCAGGGGGCAGAGCTGTCAGCTGTAGATGTTGTTGTTAATTGCCCGGGACCGCTGCTCAGCGGCGCCCACGAAGAGGCGGCGGCTCCGGGGGAGGAGGGAGGAGCGGAGGTTCCGCTCCAAGGATGTCGGCAAAGGATGGGAGTGACGAGAGGAAAGCTGCAGTCGGCCCAGGGTTAGACCAGAGGTCCAGTGGGGTCAGCAAGGTGCCAAGGTGGGATGCGAAGGGCAGTTGAAGAGGTGATGGGTGCCATTTGGGTGGTGTGGTCTATTGCGCCACACTCAGGGCAGAGTGGGCTGTTGGCTGCACCAACATTGGTGACTGGTCAGCTGTAGAGGCCAGTGTTGCCAAATATCAGGATTTCTTTCATTATCCAGCAAGCTAATGAGAAGCAAGCTACCAATACAATTACTCTTAAGCATAGTGGCAAAGCAGAGAGTTTTTTAGACTTTTTTTTCGCCCTCCTGTCCCGCAACAAGTGCGGGACGGGGCCTACATCCATTCCTGCGGCCAGCCCAACCTCTCCCCCCAGCGCGCTAACAGCCCTGCTGCCTCGATGGGAGAGTCCCACAAAACCAGGGGCGACAAGGGCGTGAGCACTGAGCAGTTCCGAGCAGCCGAACAGGTGGCAGGTGTTGTGTTCATGTCTGAGACAGAGTGAACAAAGAGGGGACGGATGTGTGGCTGGATCTATCTTGTGTAGGTATTGCCGCTATTGGTGTATTAGGGGGGAGTGGGACTTGTTTGTAAAGAGTTGTGCTAGTGCTCACTGCTCGGCATGTGTGCTTGGCAGCCTGGGTAATTGGGTTTCTGAAGAGTCTATGGCTGGTGCTGGTGCCAAAAGTATAGCATTGTTTGATAGATTGTCTATGTAGTTAGTTGTGATTGTAGTGTGTATTTGTTTCTTGCATCTATTTAGTGTTTCTGTTGTGGCTTGATCTAGTTCTATGAGTATGTTAGTGGTATAGTTTCTGTTTGTGAAAACTGTTTGTTTCATAAGTCTGGGTGGGTTGTAAGGTTGAGTATGAGTGTGAAGTGGGTGGGTTGGTGCTTGAGCTTTTAGTCTGAGTTGGGATGCACGGAGTCTGAGGTGCTGGTCTATTGAAAGCGTTTTTGTTTCTGTGTGTAGGTGGCTTTGGTTAGTATCAGCTGTACAACCTGTTGCAATGCGGAGTGCTGTGTTTTGGATTGTTTGTAGTTTGTTTGTGTGAGTTTGTGCTAAGCTGGGGGACCAGATGGTGCTGCCCTATTCTATTATAGGTTGTGTTATAGTTTGTAGGTGGTGAGTAGGACTTCTTTTTGTTTTCCCCAGTTTGTTGATGTGAGAGATTTTAGAATTTTTATTGTTTTGGTTGCCTTGTCATGTGTGTTGTGGATGTGGGTATTGAAGTTTAGTTTTGGGTCAAATGTGATTCCTAGTATTTTTGGGTGTGTGATGGTGGGGATTGTGGTGTTGTCTATGGTAAGGTTTAGTATTTTCCTGTATTCAGCAGGGTCAGGTGTGAAGAGTGTGGCTGTACTTTTGGATGCATTTAGTTGGAGGTTGTTTCTGATAGTCTAGTTGTGTATCTGTTGTAGGAATGGTTGTATGCATTGCTCTGCAATTTTGTAATTATGGTGTGATGAGAAGATGGTGATGTCGTCTGCATAGGTAATCATGTGTACATCTGTGGGCGGAGTGGGGAGGTCTGAGGTGTATATGTTGAATAGAGTGGGTGAAAGGACGCCCCCTTGTGGGACGCCTGTTTTGAAATTCTGCTGTTTGGAGGTGGTGTTATTGAAAAGTGTGTAGCCTTTTCTTCCTTTTATGTAATTGGATATGTATTTGGTTAATGTTGGTGGAATTTGAATATTTGAGAGTTTGTCTACACTGTTAGAAAAAACGGTGAAAAAACGGACCCACCGGCATCCTAGTGGCCGGTCGCCCCGTGAAAATAAACTGTTTCGCCGTTTTATTAGATGTTTTACGGATTTCTGGTGTTAAATTGGAATAAAAACGGTGAAACGGTGTTTCTTTTCATGTGCCGACCGGTCACTGAAACGCCGGTAATACCGTTAACGGTCATTTTTCTAACAGTGTATTAACTTGTGCAGGTTTACTGTGTCGAATGCTTTGGACATGTCTAGTGCTATTGTGATGGTTCGTGAAGGTGGTTGTTTCTGATTGAATCTGCGGGTAATGTGTTGGGTAAGTGAGTAGGGCTGTAACTGTGGAGTGATTTCCCTTGAAACTGTATTGGTGAGCTATTTGTGGGATGAGAGGTTGAATGATGTTGAGTATGATTTTTTTTCTAAATTCTAATGTTTTCTAATGTAATTGGATGTTTCTAATGTAGATTGGACTGAGGAGTGATATTGGTCTGTAGGAAGAGCCTATGGATGTGTCTTTGTTGGGTTTGGGTATGGGTATGATCTTGGCTAGTTTCCATGGGTGTGGGATGATGTTTTTGTTTATTGCTATGTTGTATATTTTGGTGAGGTATGACATTGCATTGGGTCCAAGGTGTTTTAGGTGCTGAATGTTAATGTTATCAGGGCCCGTGGATTTGTTGGTCTTACTATTTTTAATTGCAGAAATGGTCATATCTGTTGTGATGTTCATCTGATCTTTTCGTAAGTTTTTGATTCTTCTGTCTGTTTTTCTGTAGTGAGGGGAGGTTTGGTGTTTTGTTATGTTTATGAATTGGTTGTTGAAAGATTTTGCTTTGTCTTTGGAAGTGTGTGCGGTTTTGTTTGGGAAACTAATGGATTTGTTTGGTTGAGTGGGAATGGTTTTGTTTGATAGTTGATGTATTGTTTTCCAGAGTATATGGTTATTGTGTTTGTTGTCCCAATGTTGCTCCAAGTGTTCTCTCCAGATGTTTGTTTTATGGTCTTGTATGGCTCTATCAATTTCTCTGTTTAACTGCTGTAGCTGCGGGTCTGTGTGATTTGCAGTTCTGATTTGATTTCTTTGAGTTATGAGAGCTCTAATGTTGTCTGGAAGAGGTGATTGATTTGTTTTTATTTTGCCTTTGGGAATGTTGTGTTTGTCCGCTTGGATTATGATGTTTGTGAGGGTTTTGTTTGCGAGACTCTTCCTCAAGTTCATTTTTGAGTCCTAAATCTAGACCAGTAAAGTATCTTGGATACCTGCATTATTATACATAAGAAATTGGTTTAATTGTGAGTAAATGAGGAAATAAAAAATGAACTGATTCTAAAAAATCTGTGGTTTGTCACTATGCTCTTAAGTCCTACTTAATACCACCCAACAGTTTACAGTTCTACCCCATGCTGCCTAACCTCCCCCAAGTCCCCATGATTTTTGGTAAGAAACTCCCTACCTCACAGTGCTGTTGGTGCACAGCCAGCACTCCAGCCTATCCGCTCATCTCAGCCGTTTTCCCCTAGCATAACTCTACCTCCACGCTTACCCTGTGTCCCCACCTTTTTGCACCGACTGCCGGATGGCTTTTTATAGTTTCTGCTCACGTGACTGCCTTATGCTATTAAAAGAGGATCTATACGAGTTGAAAACCTAACCTAACCTAATTTGGAAAAGCATCAAATTCAAAGGTCTTTGAGGAAAGCCTCAAGCAAGCCATGGTGGTCAGGTGGTGGAGGAAGAAGATGCTTGGGGATAGTAAGGCAGGGAAAGGAAACAGTGATATTGATTCATGTCTTGTGGAGTGAGCAAGATTATGACTCATTCCCATTTGGTACAGTCCACATTTGTGGCAATGCAGTGTGGTCAGCTCAGCATACCCTTAGCCTTTAGGATAACAGTTTGTGTACAGTGTAACTGTGTAAGAAGTGATGGTATGGGTTAAACGTCATTGGAGAATGCTGTATTGACCATTAACTATGTGGATTGTGGAGTAATAGTTTGTGAGCTGAAGCAGTGTTAGTTTAAACTTTAAAGTTTGTGTGGCAAGATGGGTAAAATGACCACCTGGCAACCCAGTTTAAAAACACTACAAAAAATTAAATATTAGTACAAGATGAAGCAATTGGAGTCAAAGTGTAAACTTGAGCTTCAATCTCATTGCAACCATGTCTTCTCATACTGTACCTAAATTAGTAACCTAATCTTGTTGTTCATTGTTCTTGCCAAGGTGGATTACTTTACACTTGTCAGCATTAGAATGCTGCTGCCATCATGAGTGCCATGTATCATCCCAGTCAACTAACCTGTCGAAGATCACCTTGCAACTGTACTTTTTGCAATGTGTTCTTCACTTTATTAGTCTATTATAGTACATATGGTGGCATATTGACAAAGGTCTTTGACAAAGCAGTGAGTTTTTTTAGACTCTTCCTCACCTCAAGTTCATTTTTGAGTCCTATGGTTAGATCAGCAATGTATCATGGATACCTGCATTATCATATATAAGATATAGGTTTAAATCTTGAGTAGATGAGAAAAAAAATGAACTGATTCTAAAAGAATCTCTAGTTGCCACTATGGACTGTATGGGCTACTGTACTGAGTAACACTGACAACTGGTGGGTCATGATATTGATAAAAGTTAGTAGCTGTGGGCTGTGGCCTGTAGCCTGACAGCAACAGGCCCATCAAGACTTCATGTGTACAAGTTTCAATATTGGGTCCAGACTGTCCAGTTGACTCTATCAAATACTAGAAACTACATTCAATGACACATAAGTGGCATCTCTGCTACTCAGCAAGTACTGCACTATCTTGCCACACATACTCATCACTAAAAACCTTATAATACAGGTTGGAACTGTAATTTGTAACATTTGATAACCACTCTTAACCACATTATGATGATGATCTCAAGCTGTTTTGATAAAAAATTGATAAATTATACTGTGATAAAAACTAAACAACATTTAGTTATGTTTATAAAATAGATTATTTCTATCTAAGGCTTGCAACTTGAGGGCTGTGGGTCTGTAGCTAGCCTATTTGGAATATTGGGCAGAAGTTTCACAAAATTGCAAGTAATAATGATTGTTTTACAGTTCATTCTCAAGAATCCTGGCTACCTAAACACAGGCTGTGTTTTTTTATTGTTTACTGAAGAAATTAGGAAAAGGCCATAGGATTGGGTGAAATGTATAAGTTGAACAGATTTATGAAAATTTTTGTCCAACTCACAGGTAACTTGCAAGTGTGATCTACTCTTCCACTTTGGGTGGCAAGGTTATCACTTAATGGCATTGATGTTATGCATTATATTTTGCTAATTTTTTTTTACGGTTTGTCAGATTGATGTCAACCCACGTCCCACAGCCCAGGGTGCGGACACTGGCATATGCATTGTCAATGATTGGCTTTAAGACGATAACATTGCCAGCAGTATTCAGCCTTCAGGATGCATTGCTGCTTTGTCAGCATTATTTGGCTGTCATTGTATGTACCTCCTGCTTGTTTTGATTTGATTGCTTGTATCCATCACCCCTAGCCTCCCAGGGATGATAGTATGGGTACATCTGTACCAATCACTGGGCATTGGCCATATCAATTGCAATTCATTGAATATTGGCCATATTGATCATAATTTTTGTAATATTTGCAAGTTAAATGTGTCTGCAATATCTTGGAAAGACCTAAATTTTGCTATTGATATGTTTTCAAGGATCAGATATCTGCTAACTTTCTGCTCCCTGTTACTTGTGTGTAATTGCCCATCCTGGTTGTGGCAACTAGGTAAGAGAGGAGCTAATGAATCAGTTTTTCCAGGCATGAATGCCACTGGTAGTTCCGTGACTATCAATTGCTTGTTGACCCACCAAAACCATTTTTGCATTACACAACACTCTGGACAAGCCAAGTATATAGGTACTCATTTATCAACCAGAGTTGGATGAATGGCTGAGTTGACCATGAGCTCTGCTTCCCGGAAGAAATTGTCCTCAAGGGGACTCGACCTTGGGAGCTGGTTGCGAGAGAGTCTCATCACTGCACCACCACAGTACTCTGTTACATATCTTATGTCTTAAACAACAATTGTACTTCATCACAAAATTTTCAGGATCCACGATGCATATAACTGATGAAAATCACAGAATTAATCACATGGGTTGTGTGTAGTGTTTAAGGCTCAGAATAACACAATTTTTACCTAAAGTTGAAATGTTTTTAGTTTTGAAGTTATCATTTACTTTCAATGTCAGTAACTTTGACACAGCACATATTCTGCCAGCCTTCAAGAGAAATGATCCATTTTGTTAATAGAATGGAGCCTCAACTTTTTATGATAGCAGCGTAATAGTGCAATGGTAATAGTTTCTTAGTTAGTATGTAGCAAGCAAACCTGGCAAATTGTGGTTCTGACTGGTATGAAACAGTTTTTATTTACAGGTGGTAAGTTGAGGGCAGGCGGCAGTAGATACTGAGTGGCAAATTATACGTAGTATATGGCATTGACCCGTTTTGTTGTAGCAATGCAATTTAAACATTGCAAGGGCTGAAACCCTACTGGAATTTAGTGCAGAACTGTGGAAGTTAACAATAAATGCATCAAGACTTCCTTTCCTAGGAATTGAAATATAATTTTGCAAATTTGCAAGGCCAGATTTCTTAAATTTTATTTCTTTGACTCAAAGATACTTCAAAGCAACATTTCTTCTATTTATATGGTTTTTATGCCATATTATTAAAAACCACTGCTTTTTTAGATTCCAACAATAATGGAAGAATCAGTAGAAGATATTGTTCACAAATGGCTTAGCCAACACAAAGAAGGCTCTCTGAACAATCGAAGCTTCAGAGACTACTGGAGAAGAACTGTCCCTTTAATATATGCCCCGCAGGTAACTACATTTCCTTACATGTACGTAGCCAGCCTTCAATTGGTCCTGATAACTATATTTGTCCCTTAATGTCAAAGATTCATGTCTCTTTTGTTATGAAGTTTGCTTTACTATCCTGCTTTCACTGTATAACCCTTGCTTTTGCATAAGAAAAGAAATATTGGTATATTTTTACTGATGTGTGTTCCCTTAATAGATGAGGAAACCCTCAGGATGCTTTTTATTATTTTATTGTTTTTTTTTTCAACTGAATTGACTCTTCCCTTGAATTCCAGCCAAACTTCAATCCCATGCACATAGAGGAGCAGGAGGAACAGTCAACTAAGCTGCTCACTGACCCACTGCATCAATTTATTGCTGGCTCATCAACTCCTGACAAAGTTTATAATGTAAGTTTTGAGCTTAGGGGTTCAATGGAGCCACTTTTGCCCTCTAACGGTAAAAAGAACAAAACATGGGACTGCTTAATAAGTGAGAAGAAACACATGAACTTGATTAGTGCTTGTTTATTGCATGGGTTAATGCATGATGCTGACCAGGATTCAATAAGCCTATGAAGTATCAACGATCTAGTACCATCAAATCTATATCCTTTATATAGTTTATTGTTTTAGTTTCAGGATGCAAAATTTTTTCCACCCATAAGTGTTTCATTTAAGTAGAGACTTGATTTAGCTGTAGTAAAAAATTATAATTGAACATTAATATTCTGTTGTTACAGTCCTCATGCACATGCCTTTATGGATGGGAAAATAACTGTGGTTCATTTTGTTGTGCAGTCTATTAGAGAACTTGATGCTGCTCCTGCCCTTTGCGGATATGTGTTTAATGCTGGGGAGCCCACCTATGGCTGTCGAGACTGTGGATTTGACCCAACCTGTGTTCTCTGCTCTGATTGCTTCAAAGCATCACCTCACACAAAACACAGGTATACACACATATATTCATACAGGATAATGAATAATGATTGGAATTTCTAGAGATTTTGTATATTTATCCCCTTGTTTTATTGACAACTCTCTCCAAAGAAAGAGCATTGAAACTAAGCATTTCCAATTATCAGGTACAAAATGAGCACTTCATCTGGGGGCGGCTACTGTGATTGTGGCGACACAGAAGCCTGGCGATCTGATGCTTTCTGCAGCGTGCATGCTAAAGGCACGCAAGGAATTTGCATGAGCTCTCACAAGCAGCTGGACCCAGATCTGGTGGGAACCTGGCTCTGTGCACCGTTGATGGCACTGACATTTGTTGTAGTATTAATATTGCATTTTTTCTATCTCTTTTGTTGCCCACATAGGATTGATAGAGCCCACAATGGATTGATTGAGTGACTAGTAATTCGTTTAATGTTTTTATCAAACATTTTGATCTTGACATTCAATTCTATAGTCTGGAGCCAACATTTCGTCAAGTAAGAAGACAGTTGATGTATAGTAAAATTATGAGCTTGTAATTGGCTTGGACATCACAGTATTGTCTTTCCCCTTTTATGATTATGGTATTTCGAATACAACCTTTTGTCTTTGAATCCACCTCAATAGAAGGAACAATCAGAGTATTAAAGAGCACTACATTAACTTCCTGTTTGTTCTTGCGATTGAATGGAAAATGTTATAATTTATTTCATGGACTGAAGTTGGAAATGGAAAATGTTATAATTTATTTCATGGACTGAAGTTGGAAATGGAAAATGTTTAAATTTATTTCATGGACTGAAGTTGGAAATTGGGCATTCTAGAATTTCGCTGAATAATCTTGCTAATTCATGGCATGAAAATGATATTAATATCAATAAGCTTCTTAGGAATTACAGAAACATGTTATCACTTGTTTATCTGCCATTGTGCCTCTCTAACTGTTCACTTTTGTTGATCTTCGGTTCTGATTTATGCCAGCTTATATGAATTTTTAGCAGAGTCCCAGTAACTTGGTCATCATGTTTGTTATGGTTGCAGGTGTCACGTATCCAAATAGTAATGGAGTGCATCATTGACTACGTGAGGGACATGCTCACCCTCAGTGAAGGTCTCTCGCTGCCCTCGGATCTGGAACTGCCAGATGCTGAACCCACCCGCAACCCCAACCTTTACAAGATGATGGACGTCTACTGCGCTGTGCTCTACAATGATGAGAGCCACACTTATGATCAGGTGACTTTGTCTGTCCTATTACTATGTTCTTTATTTCATCAGCCTTCTGATAACCTGCGCTAAATACTTGCAGCTTCACACACTCGCAGGCATAGAAAGCTCATATTTCCTAGATTACTCGCCGACAAGTTACACTAAGAATACTCTTTACCAAGTCCAGCAACAACTTCTGATAGGGAAGTTTCAATACCTGAGTTTTAAATCTTTTGGATTTGTTGTCCAGGTGATCGCTGCTCTGGAACGCGCCATCAAGTGCACAAAGAAGGAGGCGGTGACATTTGTGACGTTCATAGACCGCGAGGGGCGCTGCGTTATTCGGTGCAGTGGCTTCCAAGCGTGCCAGCAGGTCAAGTCTGCTATGGACAGAATGGCCATCTCACAAGCATCTAAACCCTTTATTGTTAAGGTATCTCTTATCTATAACGTGTTAGTTGAACTACCTCCTATATTCATGGATCATTTAATGCCGAAACTTGATTAATGAAAAATAGTGTAATTTTTTCTTTCAACATCGTAATTTCTTAATTCAGTCTCTCTAATAAATGTTGTTTTATAAATAAGCCATAATATTAAAATGATATACAATTCTTTTTCTTCTAGATTTTCCGGTCCCACATCCAAGCCCACCAGTCGTTTGCCTCTCAGCTCCTGGTGTGGCTCGACAAACTCCTTGAGAAAGGCAATGCTATCAAAGCCATTTTTTCTGAGGTCATCTTCAGCTGCCCTTCAGGAGTAAGCTGTTTTATTTTCTGTTCATTATTGTGTTTTGCTGCCACAGGCGTCATGTGTAACGCCATTATGCTTTGCATGAAAGATTCTGGTGAATGTGAATCTGTAACTGAATATGTTTGATGGTATTTTGTATCATTTCTTGACTAGTTAAGCCTCTAAGTATAATTATTATATCTGTTTCCACCATTGAAACGTAATTTAGGTATTCATCGCAGGATCACATTAGCATATTTAATTGTTATGCATACACCACAGGACAACATGACCATGTTGGAGCGGATCATGTGGACTGACAACGAACTGTGCAAAGCAACGCGCATCCAGTGGCATAAGCTCTTCATTTCCGGGCTTTTGATGGACTTTGAAACCAAGAAGCGCTTTGCTAGGGTCAGTATTTCGCTCATATATAGATATATAAGGTACATATATTCCTGGTTGCTCAAATGTTTATCTGATTTAAGATTAACAGACTTGTCAGACTTAAATGAATCTTATGTAGGTATTTAAAATGCAATTAATTATTATTCCTATCTTATACCTTCTTTGATCCAAACTTTGGTGTGTTACGGAACAACTTAATATGAATATAATTTATTTGTATGACTGGAAGTAGTATATATGGTCTCATAAACCAACTGCCTCTAACATGGTTTGCACTGAGCAGCTCTTCACGAAGCACTACAGCAAAATGATGAAGACGTTCATAGCAGACGACCACGAGCACTCGGTGTGCATCGTATCACTGGGAGTGCAGCTCTTCACCATGCCCACCATCGCTCATATGCTCATCGCAGAGGAGGCCGTCATCGCCAAGCTTATCCTCACCTTCATCACCGAGTGCACCACACGCATCAAAAATGGTTAGTTGCATCTTTAACTTAATAAACTTTCTCTCCCATATTAATACCCATAATCGTCTTGAAATTATATTGAGCGTTTGTTTCGTGCTAATGTAATGTAATTACTTTAACTTGTCAAGTCTTGGTCAAATATCGTGAACTGAAAACTGTGCTACTTATTATTAACGTTATTTGTCAAATTTGGAAGCATTCAAGTTTGTTTTTCGAGTATTAGGAGCTCAGATGCAGCATGCAGGCTAAAAAATCCCACGTTCTGGACATTGTGTCAAAATCCCGAGTCTAAATATACTTTTGTTCTCATTTTTCCCAGAAATCATTAGTACGGTATTCTTACTGAAAAGATTTCATCAGCAATAGTAATTTATTATAAACTTGATGGAATTTTGCGCTTGACGGAATGTAATGACTAAGCCAGAAATACTTGGTCCATATTATTTGTTGAATTTATCCCGAGCTTAGTCTGGACTAAGCTGAATCGTGGACGTTTTCCTTCCGTAAATATTCAAGATGTATCAACATGCATGACCTTTTTGTTCAATGTGCAGGCAAGCTCTTCCCTCTGAGCCAAAATGCAAACTTGAGCAACCTGGAGCAGGGTAGCATGACGCCCACAGAGTTCCGACGCGTGCAGTTCATCCTCTTCGACCTCAAGTACCTGCTGGGGATGACGCCTCTCACATGGACGGACCAGCTCAGAAAGGGCTTTCTGCATGGCTTCAATCAGATCATCAAACTCTTTTGCATGATGCAGGTATGTCTTAAGTTGCTTACGGTGCTGCTGCATGATGCAGGTATGTCTGCAGTTGGTTACGGTGCTGACATTAGACATAGGTCGTTAAGAATGGTCAAAGGATACCGTTAATCTTTGATGCGAGTGTTTTTCTTATCGTTATGACTGTTCAATAAAGTGATTTAAAAATGTTTGTTCATCTCTTGATGTAGTGGATCCGGCTGAAGCTGAAATTTGCAATACACGCTTATACTAGTGAATTACTTTATGCCTTGCGGTTGCGTTACGTCTGTCCTCTCTTGCTCTGTTCCTTTGAATATGTACACCAGAGTCTCAATGGTCTTTGCTCACTGCCAATTGTTCCTAGTTCAATAATTCCAGGGACGTATTCCTCGTGTTTATACTGCATGATGAGCAGGTGTGAATACTTTCTATTCATGCGTTTATGTTTTTAAAAGCAGGTGTTGTCATCTTTTCAACAACGACAATTTACAAGCAAAAGGTTGAGGTTTGTTGACTGCAAAGGATTGTGCTACAAGCATTTCTTGATAAAACACTCAAGGTATCTTTGCTGCTAAAACATCTTATTACTGGAATGATTGCCCATGGCTTTTGGCACTGAGGGGAACATGCTGATATGAAACGGTGATGGAGAAAATAAAATATTAATGAATCTATATTCGATCGGGATTTGAGCTTGTAAGTAACAGTCGAGCTTTTCTGAAAGCTACTAACGCCTGCATTTTATTCTGTTTCATCAGATCCACAGTGAAATTGAAAGGCTTAGCATAAAATTTCATGAGGATGTTTTCCGTTTTCCTAATCGGCTATCTCTGATGATTATAGTTACGTTTTAGCTTAGATGCCTGTTTCATTTTCGGAATCATTATTGTTGACTGTGGTTATTATTATTATTATTCTGTAATGTAGTTATTATCATTATTGTTGGGTATGTTTGCCCTCCACACATGCCGGAAGTATTATTAATGATTTTTATGTTTTCAGAACATGGACCCCGTGACCCGCAAGGAAGGCTCGCACGTAGAGTTTGAGCAGGAATGGGAGGGTTCGTTCAACCTGCACATTAAGATGTCTCCAATTCTCCCCCAAATCGTCGACTGGGCCTCGTCCGACCGCGTGGTGCTCATCAAGGCTATGAGGTGACCTTCTAGGACTAGGAAATTAGAGACCTGGACCATTGGCCGTTATAAAAAATAATTATGAGCTCGTATCTCCGTATGCCAATCACTAACAGCTTCTCAATCTTAACCCACTAATCATGGAAGAGTTATTATTCATATTATTTATTCAGGTTATTGTATGGTATATTCGTCATACATCAATGTTAGTGAGTGATGTATTTCGACTGCGTGAGTGCCGCTCACTCGGCTCTCTTCATCAGGATGCTGCTGAAGGCGCTCAATGAGCACGGCTGCGAAGGTCTGCAGAAGCGCTTCATGCGGGAGGCGGCAGGCCACACGGTCTGCTGCATCGAGTACGACGTCAGCAAGAGCCCCGTGTCCATGCACATCGTCCTCACGAGGCTCTGTGGCTCCTTGGCTGTACAGCTCCAGCGCTATGACCTCTCCTACAACTCCCCAGAGTTCCCTACCAAAGACAAGCCTTCACTCAAAGAGTTCATCGAACCTTCCTTGCGAACACTGGTCATGGTATCTCAGGTGTGCTGGTAGCAGGGTCATGGTGTCTCAGGTGCGCTGGTAGCAGGGTCATTCATGGTGTCTCAGGTGTGCTGGTAGCAGGGTCATGGTGTCTCAGGTGTGCTGGTAGCAGGGTCATGGTGTCTCAGGTTTACTAATATAAACACTACGCAAATGCGTTACATGTAAAAATGATTTTTTTTAAACGGTTAGAATGTAGTCCTATGGAAATATCGACAATTAAATGGTTACGAAAAAGCAGTTAATGAATTTCTTTGACTTTTACCATTGTAAAGTGTATTCTTACCTACAGGCCTGGTTACGCATAACCATTGGCATATGAACGTTGATGACCAAAAATTTTTGTATGTGATTTGAATGCCTACTCATTTATAATTAGCGAGACGCGCCATTTCTGGCTTTGTTATTTCGCTTTGTTGTACATTTACAGTCATCGCCGTTTGTCTCATAAGTGATATGAATAAAGCTCACAATTGACTTGATAGTTTATGGTTTTATTGATTGCTTAACCAGAGTGTATTTTGCAGTGCAAAGCAGGGATGTGGCGTCGCAACGGCATGGCCCTGACGAACCAGACGTACTTCTACCGCAATGTGCGTTGCCGTCAGGAGATGATGGACAAAGATGTTTTGGTGCTGCAGAACGCAGCCGCCCTCATGCCCCCTGACGACTTCCTCATCTCCTTACTTAACCGCTTCAACCTCATGAGCTGGCAGCGTCCTGACTACGAGACCACGTACCTCTGGGTGAGTGGACCACTCCTGCCTCATGAGCTGGCAGCGCCCTGACTACGAGACCACGTACCTCTGGGTGAGTGGGCCACTCCTGCCTCATGAGCTGGCAGCGTCCTGACTACGAGACCACGTACTTCTGGGTGAGTGGACCACTCCTGCCTCATGAGCTGGCAGCGTCCTGACTACGAGACCACGTACCTCTGGGTGAGTGAACCACTCCTGCCTCATGAGCTGGCAGCGCCCTGACTACGAGACCACGTACCTCTGGGTGAGTGAACCACTCCTGCCTCATGAGCTGGCAGCGCCCTGACTACGAGACTATTTCATTGGGCAGAAAAATACGGGCTCGGTAGTTAAGATTTTAGGATCTTCCTGTTCAACCATAATTTCAGCGATTGTCCAAGCATCAATCAATCAGCGTCCAGCTTCACTGTCTTCAATTCTCTAACCACACACCCCACTCGTGTTCGCCGCACTCACCCGTCGTGTTCACCACACTCACCCGTCGTGTTCACCCCACCCACTCGTCGTGTTCATCACACTCACCCGTCGTGTTCACCCCACTCACCCGTCGTGTTCACCCCACCCACTCGTCGTGTTCATCACACTCACCCGTCGTGTTCTCCACACTCACCCGTCGTGTTCACCACACTCACCCGTCGTGTTCACCACACCCACCCGTCGTGTTCACCCCACCCACTCGTCGTGTTCACCACACCCACTCGTCGTGTTCAGCACACTCACCCGTCGTGTTCACCACACTCACCCGTCGTGTTCACCCCACCCACTCGTCGTGTTCATCACACTCACCCGTCGTGTTCACCACACTCACCCGTCGTGTTCACCACACTCACCCGTCGTGTTCACCACACTCACCCGTCCACCACACTCACTCGTCGTACTCACCCCCTCTCCCGTGCCCCCAGAGCCGCGACGACGACAACATCCGCCAGACGGTGGTCATCCTGGAGGAGTTCTGCCAGCTCCTCCTCTACATCGTGGCCGAGCGCTACGTCGTGGGTCCGTGAACCTCCAATTCTTGCTTTTTGTGATAGTTAGTTACATTATTATGAAAATTAATCCATGGATAATTCTCAGTTAGTTCCATTATTATGATAAGTAATCCATAGATAATTCTCAGATAGTTCCATTATTATGATAATTAATCCATGGATAATTCTCTTGATGAAGCGTTCACACGTAATGTTACGGTTATGGAGTTGACGGTTGTAAGTTTCAGTAGCTATAAAATGTCATGGTTATTCCCTTGAATGTTATCTTGTTGAAATGTGGCTGAAGTGTTGACTTCAGCAAGGTGGGGGCTCATAACAAAATATTTTACATTAGATGAACATGTGAATATAGTGTCAACATTAAAGGCATGTAAGGTTTTGACTTGAGATCTGTCGTATGTTTAGTTATGGTGTGAGCATCGAAAGGGTATGAAGTTAAGGGTTTTAACATGAAAAAAGTATGCTAATAGTAGTAGTGTTTACAGAAGAAAGATGTGTGGTTGCAGCGTCAAAATTGAAAACAAGTTTGATCCCTGCACTCGAAATTTTCAGATTTCACGCATTGTAGCTGTATTTTTATGATTATGAACTTGTGATATTTTTATGACTTATAATGATTCCTTGATTTTCTCGACCGTGTTAGTATGAAAAATCGTCGTTATGCTTGACATGACGTGCCATTATGCTTGACGTGCCATTATGCTTGACGTGACGTGCCATTATGCTTGACGTGACGTGCCATTATGCTTGACATGACGTGCCATTATGCTTGACGTGTCATAATGTTGTTGGTGGACAGGTGTGGCGCAGGTGGAGGCGAGCGACGTGACGAAGCACGAGGTGATCCACTTGCTGTGCGTGCAGAACATGACGCACTCGAGCATCAACAAGCAGCTGCCTGAGGGCACCAACCACGAGACTGGCATGGAACAGGTTCGTTCTCACCATCCTGTTCATATCTAATGCCAATGGTACGAAACAAGTAAGTTATCTTCACAGAGTTAATATTTCGAGCTAATGTCATGCAACAGGTCCGTTCTCACCACCCAGTTCATATTTCATGCCATTGGTATGAAACAAGTAAGTTATCTTCACAGAGTTGATATTTCGAGCTAATGGCATGCAACAGGTCCGTTCTGGGAAACCCGTGGAAGATTGGTTCTTGCCAGCAAGTAAATATTTCATGGAACAGCTATAGATCCATTAAGCTGGATCTATAGCGAAGTAGGCGAGCACAAAGAGCTGTGGCAAATCTCTGGGCGGCAGATAAGGTGCTACTCACGCTTACTCACACCTGCCTCTGCGCTGCCTGATGGTTTCTACTGTGGTATAAGCCAGTGGTGCAACTGAGCTGGCTTAGCCCAACTTTCCTCAAATCTCTTAATGCTGCTTTATTATTAAATAAAAAGAAACCATTTGAGATCCGCCTGTGAAATAATAATATTGGAATATTGATAAAATGTTAGCAAAGAGCGTTTTCATATATGCGTCAATGGAACGAGCAGGTGAGATGTATTAACGGAGTTATTGGGTCATCAGGATCGGACTATTACATATCATGGTTGTAACCTCAACAGACGGTATATTAAATTCAATTAAGAAGAACATTACAAATTTGTCTTTGAAACATTGTTTATACGGAGCTCAAACAATTTTATTTCCTATTTATTAACTATAGGAAATATTATCATCACTATTAAGAGCAATTAAATATCAAAAATTAGCAATCTATTTCAATCGATATCTAATTTTTTTCTTACAATCTCAGTGTAGGAGTATGTTACAAATAATTATATTCATCGTTACCTCAGACTGAGGATTGATAGTTTGTGCTAACATAATTGATCTTCTGGCAGATAATTGATGATATTGCGGACTTCAAGAAGGCGTCTGGCGAGGTCAAAGGCTACTATGAGCTCAAAACAAAGTTCTACGACATGTACAACATCTTCTTCTATCACTACTCCAAGGAGGAACAAAGCAAGTCTGAGGTGAACAATGATGTTAAATTTTCATATCACGTAGTCCAATGTAGACGTTTATTTAGCTTCTACTTTATCAAGTACAAGCTAAAGTATTTACAATCGCGATGGCATCTGTACAATCTTGGGCAATCTCTGTGACGCTTGTACACTCTTGTACCATCTCAGTGTCACGTGTACAATTGTGTACACATTCTGGCACATATGTTCAATCTTGTACCATCTCAGTGTCACGTGTACAATTGTGTACACATTCTGGCACATATGTTCAATCTTGTACCATCTCAGTGTCACGTGTTCAATTGTGTACACATTCTGGCATAGATATTCAATCTTGTACCATCTCAGTGACATCTGTACAGTCTTGTACAAGAAGTATCAAGCATTTTACTGAAGTGGTCGATGCTAGCGGCTACCACAGCAGCAATGGTGCTGCTCTCATGACAGGCGATGTGTGTGAAAGCTTGATTTCTTTGCAAATGCTGAGGACGTTGTTTAGATCTTGTTGATGTGCGGGGCTCTATGTTTTCTGCCACAAATGCAATTCACAGAAAATGTCCATTCTCATCCCTATTATCTTCATGCCATTTAGCAGACTATGAAATTAACATCACATTTTCGCATGTTTTTTGCATCTCCGTCAGAGGCAGCGCAAGACTTCTGAAGTTATCATTAGTTTCTGGTGTCAGAGTCAGTCATTCGATGATGAGAAAACGGCCTTCATTGAAATGAATGGTACAGGGAAAATTACATGAAATGCCACCAACGTCATAACCCACATCTGAAAAGTTGAAGAAAATTTTTTGGTAAAAACACAATGTTTACGAATGTATAAATATCATATCCCACAATTGTGGTGCAGGTTGAACGGTCCTTCTCTGTAAGTGTAAAGTGAACCACTTTAATATTAGGTACACTTGAATTTTTATTTGTATGGCACTCCCCAGGAGATGATGGCCCTTTTAATTTAATTTTTAATTTAATTTTTTTTATTTTATTTTTTTTTGTAATTATTAATTACGAAAATGTAATTAATTTAATATAAATTTAATTAACATTAAATTAAATAAAGAGTAATTAAATTATAATTAAATTGAAAAATTTTTGTTCACTGTTGTGTTCAGGTGGAGCACCGCGAGCGCTGCAAGAAGCTGGGCAGGGAGGTGTGCTGCCCCCCTCCTCCCGTGCCTCCCTTCACCCCCGCCTTTGCCCCCATCAGGAATATCTTCAACTGCGCCGTCTTCAGGCACCTCTTACATGAAGTCTTTTCCAGGTGCTCCAGCATAGCATTAATTTTATTATATTTTATTTTATACACTGTACAAAATGAATTAACCTCACGCGCCAAGCGCCTATATGCTTCCTTAAATATGCTTTTGCAGTTGTTTGACGTTCTAGGTCCATGTTTGCTGATGCTTTCCCAGCAATGCTTCAAGTATTTACATTAAAAACACAACATTATTTCAGTGTTGATGACGAGTAGGCTGCCAATACTTTTTTCAGTAAGGTTTCCTATATAAATGTTGACACTTTGTTGGTACTCATTTATTGTTTATTAATGAAATCTTCACTAATAGAAAATTACTTTCTCCAAAATAAGCTTCTCACAATAATCGTTATTAAATGTCTTACAAATGTGCGATATCTTAAACTGGGGGCTCATTGAGTATTGAATCCAAAACACAATTCTACTGTTTTTTACAAGATACTGGAATGAATCAACTTATGCAGAGCATTCAGTTTGTAAGAACATGTAACTAATACCTATATTATTTTACTCTTATGCAATATAATTATATTACAATATAAATATTATATTGTATTGAGATGGAGCGACGAGCGCAGCAAGAGCGTGACAGAGACGAGCGTGCAGGTGTGCTTGCACCTGCTGGGCGTCGCCTGCTACGAGGAGCTCCACACTCCAGGCTTCCTCACCAACCCAGGCGAGCTGCGACAAGTGCTCCAGCTGCTCCAGGCCAACAACTCCACTGCCTCCCTCCTGTCCCTCATCGCCTGGACCAGGAGGAAGTGAGTTCTTGTCTCGTGGATCATATGTAAGTTTATGTCTCGTGGACGAGCAGACATTAGGTAAGTTTGTTATGTGCCACCTATACTTTCCTAGGTTGAAATTTCGAGTGTTACCTACACTGCCACAGTGTGTCGTGAGTATAACGAAATTGCTTAAAACTGTAGCAGGAACGGAAGCATTTAGGGCTGTAATTCGCTGTCTGTGTTCAGACTGGAAGAGGCGTTCCCGGAGAAGGAAAAGCCCGCTGGCAGCGTCGACGTGGCTGCTGACAGCGTCACGTCCATCGCTGACGCCGCTGTCAACGCAGCCGCTGACACTGAAGAGCTCGACGAGAAGCAGAGGAAAGCCAAAGCCTCGCAGGAACGCAAGCAGAAAATTCTCAACAAGATGGCTAAAATGCAGAAGAACTTCGTCAAAAGTCATAAAGCTCTATTTTCAGTAAGCTGTTTTCGTCATTTATTCGTTGTGTTATCTCTTTTTGCCAGCGGAAGTTCGTTCTTTTAGTCATGTATTTTATTGTATGTACTGTTGCAATATGAATAATTATACCAAATGAATATATCCTTTTGTATTGTTAGCACCTTCGCTTTCTACTCCTAAACTCTTTGAAATACCATCAGCATGTCCTTAGAATTGCACGAGTTATTGTAATGTAGGACTTATGTTAACACCATCTTATTTGCGGCGTGCGAAAACAGTGTTAAATAATTGTCTACTCGACTATTGCACCGCTAATTGTAAATTAGGATACGAGATTTAGCAGATAATTGCACAGATAAAAAACGTTTATGGTATCATAATTTACTAGGTACTGAATTATTGCACTGCTAATTTCCACTGAATTTTACAGGAGGAGAGCACGGTGGAAGACAGGCCCTCGGAGAGCGAGGTGGAGCAGATGGAGGTGTGTGACCTCATGCCTGACGAGATGGTGGCTCTCGGTCCTAAACAAACGCTCCCTCATAGCACCAGCTTCAGGTAATGATGCCAGGAATTATGTTATAGGAACAACTCTGTGCAGTGTCCGCTTTGAATTCTGTCTTACCTCAAATACTGAGAAGTCTTCTTACTGATTCCATTGTCGTGATTTTAGATGTATGCTTTTTGTTTCGTGTTTGCATGAAATATTTACTTTTGCCACGTTCGTGAAACACCATTTGTTTTCATCTTCTTCATTTATATATGTATAGGTCTCTGCTCCACCTAATAACTTTGACAATTTGTTGGATGTTAGCATGATATTGCAGCCATCGTGTTTGTCATGATCTGTGAAGAACATCTTGTGTGTGACGTAGTTATAAGCACCATCGCATCCAGCAAGTCAAATAACACGTCACGCTGCACCACGCAGCTTAACACATATCACATCATGTTGCAGTCAGACGTGCATCGTCTAACACATATCACATCATGTTGCAGCCAGACGTGCATCGTCTAACACATATCACATCATGTTGCAGTCAGACGTGCATCGTGTGTCACATGGACGAGAGCATGTGCCAGGGTGCGGCAGGCAGCGACGAGAGCAAGAACCTGCTGGTTGTGGGGGTGATGGTGCAGCCGAGCACCGTGCTGGCGAGGCGGCGTCGCGAATTCAACACTCTAGACCAGCCCTTGTACCTGCCGGCAGACCTACACAGGGGCATACACGTGTCCTCTTGTGGCCACCCAATGCACGTGCATTGCTGGAAGCTCTACTACATCAAAGTTATCCAGAAGGAACAGCGCAGGAACTACAGGTGAGTTGTCCCTTGAGCCGTAGCCAACTGTGTTATTTTTTAGGGTTACGGAAGCGGTATCGTCATTCCATCGGTATCGTCATCTCTTCACCTTCATATCGAATCTCCTTACCTTAAATTCTCACTTCCTTACCTCATGTTCTGACCAGGTTGCATGATCATTACATCGACAAACGCTTCGTGTTTGCCTTATTATATACGAACGACCACAAAAACTCCTACCGGCTTTTCATTACTCACACTTTTCAGGATGCGTCAAGGCACGAACATCGACGTGGAGCGTTCCGAGTATCTGTGTCCTTTGTGCGAGTGTATCTGTAACGACGCCGTGCCGCTGCTACCACCACCAACACAGCCTCTCTTCGGGGGCAGCATTACTCAGGGAGACATCTTGGTGACGCCCCAGCAATGGCTGCATGGTCTTCACGTCATCCATACAAATAAGGTGCTCTTAGCTGCAGTTTTTACGCAATTTAAGCCATTCATGGTAACTACCGGTATGTAGAGTTTATTACTAAAAAATTCCATGAGTAATTACCATAATTACCGCAGCCTTCTTCGGTGCTACATTCCATAGTCGGCTTTAGTGGAGTGACGTTCTTCTAACTTTCATGCCTCCAACTGTTGGTAAACATCAATGGGAATTTTACATTCCAGCCTTCCTATCGGGGTCTTTCCTATTATATCTGCAGTGTTTTTACAGCTGAATTGTTACTAAAAAGTTTCACAGAAGATCTCAGACCTGACCCTTCAGGTGTCAAACCGCGTTGGTTTCCTGCCACATGCCTGAGAATACTTCACTCAAAGGATGGGCATGGCACAGATGGGCGATTGGTGTTATTTTCCCTGGAGGCTCGGTAGGCCCGTGAACCTCCTACCTCCTCCGGGTGGCTCGGTTGGCCCCTGAACCTCCTACCTCCCCCAAGTGGCTAGGTATCCTCCTGAACCTCCTACATCCCCCAAGTGGCTCGGTAGGCCTGTGAACCTCCTACCTCCCCCTGGTGGCACTGTAGCCCCCTGAACCTCCTACCTCCCCAAGTGGCTCGGTAGGCCTGTGAACCTCCTACCGCCCCCTGGTGGCACTGTAGCCCCCTGAACCTCCTACCTCCTGCAGGTGGCCCGGACCGTGCACGCGAGTGCCCCAGAATTGAGCGACAGCCTCAGCGACGAGGAAGACAGCACCGCCGTTGCGGGCGTGTGGTTGCCGCCCGACCTACCGTCCGTCACCAGTCGCCTCACCTCTGACATGAACTCTTCCTGCGCTGCTTCCAATTTCTTAAAGGTCTTGTTGTGTATTTTATACGCCTCAGTACAGCTCGTTTTATTGGTATCTACTTGTTAGTATTAACCTCTATATACTTTTTTCACCATTCTACGAAATGCCGCACTGAATTTTATTAGAAGTATATTCCTTGAAGTTAATTAAGTATATTATGCACCGGAGTAAATTTTACCCCAAGCTTATAACTCTTCATCTCCTCGTTATGCGCCTCACTTTGAAAATAATGTCTGTGCAAAACTCATTGTTGAGTAATACTTTAGATGTCCAATGTTTCTATCTGAGACACCTCACCTTGAAGTCGTGAATTTTCTTGACGAGTTTTCCTTGCAGATGTTCACTTCTGAGTACAACACAACCATGTCGAACCTGCTACCGACCTCTGACCAAGTCATGTGGGACTTCGCTCACTCAATATTCAGAGTAATGAACTTGGTTTAATGCTGACGTGTGCTAATCTTCACTAATTATTCGTAATGACTATCCAAGACTCAATATTTCGTGCATTGGTAACCTCATAACCTAGTGTTCTCCTAGTGTTTATTAATGTTGCGACAGAGAACATTTTCTGTTGTCGTTGAACAGCTTTGAGTCCCGTCTTTAATTTTTACTACTGGAAACGGAATCTAAATTATTTACTTTGATTCGAAAACGCTACTTAATCTGTACTGAAACTTTGATAGAGTGAAGCTATAAGAGTTTTTTGAGGCATTCCTGTTAAAGTTCCGCAATATATTGCATTGATGTACATGAAGTCCTAAAGCCAGGCGTAGACGCATGTTTGTTAATAGTTGGTTGCATACGTGAGTTTTAGCTTGTACAGAGTTTAATGTTGTAAAGTCATTTCAGCAGAATTGTATTTTGCGGCAATGACTAAACCATACCTTAAATTCTGGATTTTACCGTAGAAGAATATCCTTCCTATTATCATGGGATATACCACGAAATTATTCACTTGGCGCAACACGGGCTGGTCAATAAACAGTGCTGTAGTTTTAGATTTACTATGGGCTGCGCTTATCATAAGAGAGACGGAAATGAGATCTATCATTTTGCATAGCACGGGCTGGACCATAAATTGTGATGTAGTTTCATTTACAAAGTTCTGCGCTTCTGAGAGACGTAAATGAGATCCTGGATCCATCACTTTGCGCAACACGGGCTTGAGCATAAACTGTGATGTAGTGCACTATGTGCTGCGCTTATCATTATAAGAGAGACGTAAATGAGATCTATCACTTTGCATAGCATGGGCTGGACCAGAACCCAAACCTGGCCGACGAGCGCATCCTGGGCTGCACGCTGGCGAGTTTGGCGTACACTATCCGTAGCCACGAGGAGGTGCAACGCTACGAAGGCCGCGCTCTGCTCACCGGCATCAGCAGCCGCCAGCATCTTTTCCTGTCCTCTCTGACGGCCACTGCCGCCTACATACCCTCCAACCAATGCTCCAAGCAGATGCCACAGGTGAGTGTTGGGTGGTAGTCGCTTACTGCATCCCCTCCAACTAATGCTCCAAGCAGATGCCTCAGGTGAGTCTTGTGCATGGTAATGACCTCCTGTATCTCCTCCAACCACAACGGCAAGCAGATGCCGCAGGTGAGTATTGGATGGTAATGGCCTCCTGCATTTCTTCCAACCACAGCGCCCAGCAGATGCTGCCAGTGGTGGCTCTTTTTAGCTATTCCGCGGGCTTTGTCGCGAAAGTGGCCTGAATCTCTTGTGTAGGCTATACTGGCGTCGATTTAGTTCGTAGCTTGTAAGGAAAGTCCTGATGTCTAAACCACCAAGCCCTGGTATTCTTGTAAGATGCTAGTTGAGAGCTGCTTTACGCTTTCTGAGCGGACGAGAGCGTACTCGGTGTTTAGATATACGGAAATATTTTGCCCATCTATGAGTAGTCAATCGAAGACACACTCGTATCTCGTCTTTTTATCATAGGCAGATGTTCGCGCTATGGTAGCCAAGACGCAATCATTGATCATCCTTAAATCACTGTGGAGAATGTAAATTTTTAAATCTTTTCTCACTTAGTTTTCATCACGAATCTGGAAAATATTCACTATTTCTTCCCATACTCTTACTTTGTTTGAGTTGTTCACTTCACAGAATATTCAGAAATGTAATAAGCGTCTGCATTTTGAGATGCAGCAGGCGTTTACAACGTCCATGTTACAGCCGAACTTTGTTGGACGCAGCGGCTGTCATTTCAGGTGACTACGGTCATGGTTCGGATAGCGACGTAATTAGGAAGCATTGTAATTGCAATGTTAGCCTCAAATATTCAGGTATTTTTGGGTCTGTATTGTCGAAAGTTTCTCAAGTACATGTAGCGGTCTAAGTAAACGTAGCAGTAAATTCCTTATTTGTGAATGGTGGATTTATCTTGAAAATACATCATTGATTGTTGGACGGAGTTACGAATTCGTGAATATTTTTGACGTGATCACTGTTTAGCCGTATCCATCATTTGTTACTTACGGCCGTCGGTATGTGCAGGTGTCGACTAGCGCTGCGGTGTGCGTGCTGAGGGACGTGTTGGGCGCCAGCAGCGTGACTCTACTGGAGATGGACTGCTTCAGCGCCGCAGTGTCCCTCGTGCTGCTCCTGCCCGGCATCTTCTCCCCCACACACGCCACGGCTAAGGGCGGCTTGCAGGTTGCGCTCTTAGTGCTATTGACAGCTATTAACACAGCTATTAGTGCGTATAGTGCTAGTAACATCTCGCCGTCCTCATAGGACTAACAACAGCTGTTAGTAGTATTGACTACTGCATCTAATTATATTGCTATTAACGGCTGATTATGCTCATAGGATTGGTAATAGTAAAATATTGGAAGAATAAGTTTTATTATTCTGTCAGTTAGCTTCTACTGCAGAATGCTAGTAACGATGTGGGAATGGTAATGCATAAATTTCATTAGAAATCCCCCAAAATGTTTTGGCTAACATTAACCACTTCAACTAGTCTGCTTCTACTTTAAAATTGAACAACGAAATCACTTCTAGCCATTTTTCAGGCCCGGAGTTATGAACTGGTGAAAACCGTTTTTGGATCGTACTAGCATTTAATTGGGCTTTAGGAATCGCACAACAAAAAGACGATTCTTTAAGATCATATACTATGTGACTTGAGTGACATCTATATTGTACTGGTGATCGCGGAGAGCTCCCAACACATCGGGGCAGAAAGAGAGGTTTTATCCGTGAACGTAAATAAAGAACTTTGAAATTATTTGCCATGTGCAGACCTCCCATGTCACTTCTGAAACACCCCAAACTGGTTCCTGTCCCCGATCATGGTCTTACCTGGCTTTATGCAGTACACTAAAAATTATTAATTAATATGCTGGACACTAAACGGGCAATTAAGGCCACTAGATTAACTAAATAACTAACTAACTACCTTGTGCAGGACCAGTATGTGCTGCAGCTCTGCTTCTTGGGCCACATCGTGCAGCTGCTGCTCACCTACGACCGCACGTTCCCTGAGGACCAGACCCCCATGGAGGACACGGATGAGGTGCAGGAGGCCGTGCTGGGCTCGTGGGTGGCTGCTGAGGAGGAGGACCCGATGGACAAAGAGTGTGAGGACTCAAGCGGGTCTGAGCACGACGCCTCGTGGCTGCTAGCGCTCTTCCATCAGAGCCGTGATGCCGTCGGCCTGCCGCCGCTACACGTCAACGCGGCGACGCTCCTCGCGCACATCAAAGAAAGATGGTCAGTTGGTGGAACGTTGTCTTATTTTTCTTCAGTTATCTAGTTTTTCTGAAGTGTAATCATATGAGCAAACGTCAAAACCCCTGCTGTCCAAGTAATCGTTTAATATGAGTTTTCTTACAATCGGATTGCAGAAACAATTGTACATAGTCAAATTTTGTCTCACATTGTAAAATATACTGAGGACATTAAAGATTAATGCGAACCGGCGCAAAATAAGTGATATATACTAATAATGTAATGATACAAGAAATTGTGTTGTACATCAATAGATTCCCTAAACAACGTTGATTACTATAACCCTTTCCTCCAAATAATTAGCAATTGCGCGCACACTACCAGCCTCCAAATAAAAAAATTAATAATATAATAAATTGTTAACACGCAGCCTGCCGTTCCTGCGTTGCGCGGGCCTGTTCTTCCACCTGCTGACGGGCTGCGCGGCTCCAGCCGAGCTGAGCTCGTCCGTGTGGGTGCCTGAGTCTGAGTACTACTGCCTGCTGCGCTACCTCGGTCTGTCCACCTCCCTCGCACAGTCGCTGCAGCCTTTTGCGTCAGTCGTCAAAGTGTGAGTCTTGATTACTGTCTTCATAGTTTTTTGTCTTTACTTTAATTTCCTTTGCCCGATGTACTTTTTCCTCTTCTCAGGGTCTCTCTCTACAGTTTTACAGCGCCTATGTTAAATGAACCGACATGTTGCCATGATGTTCACGATGTAAAAGCGGTTCTGCAATAATCTGAGTAATAAATTGCTCTTTATTATATCTTGCCGTCATGCGGTGCCCTCTCTAACTGCCAAGTTAGGCATGAAGCTCGCGTTATTTCCAAGGTGTTTCTGCAGGTGGCTAGCGCACCCAAGGCTGCTGAAGTGCCTCAAGGTTCCCACGTTTGACGGCGACCGCGCTCTGACAGTGAACAAGCTCTACCCGCTACTCAAGGACTACTCGGAGTTCATAAGCGAGGTGGCGAGCTTCGCGTGCCCTTCGTCGACGGTGGGAGAGAAGTCGAGCACTCCGACGATATGTCTTGTGTGCGGCACCATGATGTGTTCACAGGTCTGTGCTTATCCCGACTTTGCCCTAACTTTCCCTTATTGCCGCTCATGACACTGTCTGCTGTAACTGTCCTACCATTTTAACTCCTACATTCGAATTCAAACAACCATTTTACTGTCTTGTGTTGTTATTCAATGTTACTGTTACTGATGATCAAGATACATATGTCACGTTATTGACTCCTATGTTATTAATCCACGTTGTATTCTATAACCAATATGGTCTTGTAATACTGAAGCTGTAATTTGCGCTATTGTGTTGCGTGCACCAGACGTACTGCTGCCAGACGGAGCTGCCGGATGCGACCAAGCAGATGGTGGGTGCCACGACCGCCCACGCGCACACGTGCTGCGCAGGCTCCGGCATGTTCCTAAGAGTCTGGGACTGCACGGTCATCTTCAGGACCGGCAAATATAAAGGTAATATTATATAGTTTCACCGTATCGCCATGCGGTTCAGATTATTCTAAGACAGTGTAGGGCAATGGTTCCATGGTTCATATTAATCACGTGGTCAGTCTGGTCCCAATAACCGTAGTTTCCTGCCCTCGGTCTCGGTATTCGCCTAAGTCATAAATGTAACCCTTCCAAGTTACTCTGGGTTGTGTTTCCTTCAGACCTGTTAGAACTGCTTGCTGTCAATTATTTTTATTCTGGTGACTATTTTCTAATAGTCCGTGATGAATGAACCGCGCTTTTGCAAGATAGAGATGCTGTAATGTGACCAACGACGAAGTTTTCCTATCTGATGCTGTCCCTGGGTTTGATTTTCAGCTCGGGTAAGGAATTTGTAGACTTTAAGTCTTTCATCCGATTCGAGTCGTTTTATATAAAACCGAATTGGCTGCAGGGAAAGTTCATATCGTTCGATCCGCTCGTACCAACATGCTATTAAAAATTTTCAGTTTAAATTTCAGTTTTCAATTTAGCTTTTGTTTCAAGGTCCATATTAGCATCTTTTCCATGGTTCATATTAGTATCTGTTCCATTTTAGCCTATGTCAGTCCAGTTTAAGTTTTTCATTCCATTTTTATTTTTTATATTAATGCTCGTTCTATTCGCGTTAACTCAATTGTCAGGCATTTAGTATCATACTAGTATCATATACGACGGCTCACCTATCATTGAACAAAGGATCAATTATTTTTACATAATTCATTATCGTCGTTTATACTGAACTCAGAGTGAGCAGTATGGCCGATTTGACTTATTGTTCTGTTGTATGTGTGAAGGCTGCTACTTCACACCGCCATACCTGGACCAGTATGGAGAGGCGGACATGGGCCTGCGTCGCGGCAACCCGCTTTTCTTGAACGCTGAGAGCTACAGTCGCCTGCACGCCAAGTGGCTGCAGCACCTCATCCCCGAGACCGTGTCCCGCACCTTAGCTGCTGCCAGCACACACGTGTTCAGCATCGACTGGCAACATGTGTGAGCTACGTCACGTCTTCAGTGGAGACTGGCAGCACGTGTGAGCTACGGCACGTCTTCAGTGAAGACTGGCAGCACGTGTGAGCTACGGCACGTCTTCAGTGAAGACTGGCAGCACGTGTGAGCTACGCTACGTCTTCAGTGGAGACTGGCAACACGTGTGAGCTACGCCACGTCTTCAGTGAAGACTGGCAACACGTGTGAGCTACGCCACGTCTTCAGTGAAGACTGGCAGCACGTGTGAGCTACGGCACGTCTTCAGTGGAGACTGGCAGCACGTGTGAGCTACGCTACGTCTTCAGTGAAGACTGGCAACACGTGTGAGCTACGCCACGTCTTCAGTGAAGACTGGCAGCACATGTGAGCTACGGCACGTCTTCAGTGAAGACTGGCAGCACATGTGAGCTACGTCACGTCTTCAGTGGAGACTGGCAGCACGTGTGAGCTACGCCACGTCTTCAGTGAAGACTGGCAGCACATGTGAGCTACGGCACGTCTTCAGTGGAGACTGGCAACATGTGTGAGCTACGGCACGTCTTCAGTGAAGACTGGCAGCACGTGTGAGCTACGGCACGTCTTCAGTAAAGACTGGCAGCACGTGTGAGCTACGCCACGTCTTTAGTGAAGACTGGCAACACGTGTGAGCTACGCCACGTCTTCAGTGGAGAGTGGCAACACGTGTGAGCTACGCCACGTCTTCAGTGGAGACTGGCAACACGTGTGAGCTACGGCACGTCTTCAGTGGAGACTGGCAACACGTGTGAGCTACGGCACGTCCTCAGTGGAGACTGGCAACACGTGTGAGCTACGCCACGTCTTCAGTGGAGACTGGCAACACGTGTGAGCTACGCCACGTCTTCAGTGAAGACTGGCAGCACGTGTGAGCCGTGACCATCGCGTACAGCCCATAGTCGTCCGACCTGTGCTTGAATCATGTTACAGGAGGGGGTCATATTTACGGCTGAGAGCTCGGCCGCAAAACGTGTTCTAATTTGAAATAGCAAAATTCAATACAATGAATTATATCCAAAGCAAGTATGGTATTTAGGACGTGCCTTCCTGATTGTGCTGTCTGTTGCCTTTATTTTAAAATGGGATCGCCCTGGTTCCGATTTTTGCAGCTTCATTAACACGACATGAGCAAACCTTTGAGCCTGCCATCTCACGGCTGCTTTTCAGGCCGGTTTTCCATAGATATTCAGAAAATAAAAATAATCCGAAATGGCACTGCGATAGTCACTTAACTTCACGTGTGTTGCCCAATCATTGATGTAAATCTGTCGCGGCAAAAAATATCTACATTTTTTCATTTGTTTTATTACATTGTACGTACAGAAGATTACGGCTGTCTGACAACGTATTTCACTGATTGATATGATGATTCAGCGGAAACAATTTTCTTCATTAGTTCCTTTGCCTTTCGCTAAGTTTTCAGATCGCTTCATGCTTCTTTTTCACGACCGCAATCTCATAGCATTAGAAAGAAATGCACTTTCGTTCAGAACTATCGATATTTTTTTCGAGATTTCCTTGGATCCCGAGTATTTTCCCGGGTTCTTCTTGTTAACACTAACTTGAACCAAAATTAGACTATTTTTATTGTTATTACATTAGTTTGCCTACTTCATTAACTCAATTTTAGTGTATATTAATTAACATGCGAATAACGCATGTATTCATGCTCCCTTTTGCGTATTATTTCCGCGTGTTGTTTTGTTAGCCGTTGCGTTTTGCCGTTAGACGGTAAGTATGTTCCTTGTGCTGCACAATTGCCCTGTAAACTGTCTTCGCTAAGTGTAAGTTCTTCTTGTTTTGCTCTTGTACGCGAGTTCGACCTGTAACTGCCTGGCTTCGATGTACAACAGGATTGGCGAACTCTATTATTTGTGAATAAATATTGTCTGTCTACGGCCCGAAGGGCGTACAGCGGTGATGTTAGTTCACCTCTGCTATAGAATATTGTAGAGAATTTATTTGAGTTAGTGCTAAGTTTACGGTAATGTCTGCGTTTTGATGACACAATGACGCTATAATATAAGCGTTATTGATAGATGTGGAGATATGGGTGGACTTGCTGTAAACTTTAATTTGGCAGTTTAAATATGTTGTCTCACGACTGGTGTTTGCTTAATGCGATATGTAGAACTGTTTCAACCGATCTTCCTGTTCCCTAAATTTTACAGTTCTAGTAACATTTCCATATCGCTGACACGATTAATGCGTCGGTTTCTCGCTGCTCATCTATTTCGTTTGGTAGTCAATTCAAACGTACGCTGACATTTTTTCTATGTCAGGGAAGTACATTTATCGTGTAAATGCATCGTATATATGATATCTCTTGAGATCTGAAACGTTCGCTGCGAGAATTTTAGATTTGTAGCTTATAGTGAGAGATCTAGTGCGTTTGTTCTTAAAAAAACGTCGTTTATTTAGTGCGAGCGGAACGCAACGTTCAGTCTCGATGCTTACTTCGTATGTTCAATAAATGCTATAGAAATTAATGGCGGCCATCATTATCCTCTTACATTCCTTTGTTTAGGCCGTCTCTCAGTATTTAATTTCACGACGCGCGCGATAGTTTCGTCTGTTTTGTCCCGAGTAATGTCGATAATTTCCTTCCTTGTTGTTCAAGGCGGAAAATCTTTGCGAGTGAGGCAAGTCGTTGCGGGGAGCGCGGAACGCGCCGTGAAATTTAAGTAATTTCCCCCTTACTATAATAATTACTAATAAGTTTGAGCAGCAATCTTTTCAATTCACGTAATGAGACGCTTTATTCATAAACAATTTTTGCAGCCGAAAGATTCAAGCGTGTTGAAACTTCTCAGAATATCCCCTGAAACATAATGTTACACGTGGTGCATATAATTATAATGTTTATCTAATATTGCGCTACCAGATGAACTAAATTTATTTCGTCGTTTATTTATTTTAGATATTACTGTTGAAAGTGCGTTCCTTAGTTGAATATGAGCACACAATCGTTTTTTGTAACGTCGCAAACGAGGCAAGTGCTTACGTTCGAACACTTCTCGTGTGAAACATAACTTTCGTTTTGTAATGAAATAGACTCGCAATTCCATGTACATCGCTAACGAGCATGTTTTTGTGATGCTGATACAGAATTACTGTCTTCAAGACAGTACTCTGGCCTCTGTGTACTGGCCTCTGTGTCTGGCCAGACACACTCTGGCCTCTGTGCATACGAAGTATCACGAGCTGCTCAGAAGGCGGATTTAGGATAACCTGAAGGTACACTCGAATCGGCAAAGCTGTTAGTCAGGTGAGGAAAAATAGGATGGGTGCCAGTTAGGTGAACAATCGAGTCAGTGAGTGAGGTAGTGACTGTGGGTTTTGTTGGATAGTTAAACTAGCTAGGAAGAGGAATTCATGGTCGGAGACGCTTAAGTCTTGAATGGACCCTTGAGAACAATCATTGCTCTTACAATAAGGACTTTTTAAAAAACAAATTAGCCCTTAAACAATGTAGCAATGAAAGGCCCATTATGTTCAAAATTAAGCAAAATATATAAGCAGCAAAATTTCAATAATATCCGTAATATTTCCAGCATAAAGAATCCATCATCAGTTGGAAAGTCAACAATACAATATTGTTGACGGACGACAAGTTTACATAACAGATTAAAAAAAAGAATGATCGAAGGAGAAGTAAAGACATTGTTAGACATTGTTATGCGTAACCGTGCGTGAAAGTAATAATCAATTAGTCATCAATAAAAATATCTCTGAGAATAATCAAGATTCGCAAATTTTGTGTCACTGAATGTTTATGATAACCGCCAAATTGAAACAAAGTTGAAATGTAAGTTAATCCTCATGACGCGCGTGGACGCAGTCGCCATGTGTGAAATTTTTATCGGGTTATCTTAAATCATTTGTTTACAACGCCTGTCCAAGGACCCTACCTCATTTGAAGAACAACATACGCAAAGCCATCGCCAACATATCCGTCAATATGCTTCAGTGAGTTGAACGGAACTTCAAATATCGACGAACTGAATGCATGGACAATGAGGGCCGTCATTTTTAGCGCATTTTCTCATTTATGGGAAAAATGCCCTATTGTGCTCGTCATGTCCGTCCGTCCGTCCGTCTGTTCGTGACTTCACGTTTTCGTCGACGAGAAAATGAGCTCTCTGTCACTCCCTGCAGTGGCTACTGAGTTATATTTTTCTTTTTAGTGCAGGGTGGCCCAGTGGTTAAAGTTCAGAGTACCCGGATTGGAGCAGTGAGGTGCGGGCATGATTGAACTAGTAGATATATAGTTCAACCATGGATGCGGGTTCGATTCCAGCTCTGTGCGCCAATTTCTGGTCAGAATCGGCAAGGAGGCCGGGCGGTTAATTAAGCAAAGAAAATTTGAAGCAGTGAGTTACGAGTTCAAGCCCGCAACAAGCTGTGGATGTTCTGCAACGATAAGAATCGGCGACAGGCCTACGGCCAGAGGTGGGCAGTAGCGCGCTACATGTAGCGGTAGCGGTAGCGGCTCTACATTTAAGGCAATGTAGCGGTAGCGGTAGCGGCTCTACATTTAAGGCAATGTAGCGGTAGCGGTAGCGGCTCTACATTTAAGGCAATGTAGCGGTAGCGGTAGCGCCCGCTACATAAGTAGCGATACGAGGTTTTGCCGCTACAGCGCTACCGCTACATTTATAGATAAAGCCTTTAGATTTTACTTAAGGGGACCGGCTACCCTCCAATTATCATTAAATGTTAATGAGTAAATCCCAATAGCAGAACAATAAATATTTAGAGATTTCCAATAATTTTGGCCATTGTAGCGGCTAATGTAGCGCGCTACATTTTACTGTAGCGGTAGCGGTAGCGCCCGTTACAATCTCGTGGGTGTAGCGGTAGCGGTAGCGCCCGCTACATTTAGAGCATGTAGCGGTAGCGGTAGCGCCCGCTACATTTAGAGCATGTAGCGGTAGCGGTAGCGCCCGCTACATTTAGAGCATGTAGCGGTAGCGCCGCTACATTTCCAAGTAGCGCTGCCCAGCTCTGCCTACGGCCTGGTAAACGCTAAAACCGGTATATTATATTAATATATTTATCCGAAGTCATCTCTCTAACTAAATGGTACAAAAATTCAGGTAATGTCTTTTTCACTAAAATTTATATTATAATGATATCTTCACTAGTACTTTTTTATTGAGCTTTCAAATCAGGAAGTTTCCGTGAATCACCATGTTTCAGACGCGCAACACACCCGCGTGAGGCTACGGCCAGACTAGATGGACGCCTCGTCGTTACTGGTACAGCCGTGCAAAAATTGTGGATCAACATTCATCCGGTCAAATTTGGTCCTAAACCCCCAAACATACACACTGTTCCAATATTATTTTTCCCTATAATCCGGCCACCTCGCCGATTTCGACCGGAACTGTTAATTAAAGGAAGCTGGGATCTAACCCGTAACTCACTGCTGCTATCTTGGTACTCTTAATTTTACCCAAGGAGTCCGACAGCCTAAGTGTCGAAAAAACCTATCGGTTAACAATTTGAACAGGATAAGTACTCAAGCCCAAATGTTTTAATTTTTTTCTGTGCCGCAGATTTATGGATGTTGGAATCGCTGCATGCTTTTAAAATAAACGAAAACTGGGTTTTCTTAACAACGTTCATAGTTCTAATCTTCTTAAATTGCTAACCGATATGTTTTCGCGTCACATAGACCATTTATCTGGTCATATAAATGTAATCTCTCTGTGCAAATTTGGTCTTCGGTGCCAATTTGGTCTTAGATTGATAATGCTTCTATTCATGAGAATTTAAACTGATAATAGAGTTGGTTATAAAGATAGGAATATTATAATGACGGAAATATCTTAATGATATAAATAATCATTAAAATGGAAACATCCTAATGATAGTAACAGCTAATGATATAAATGTCCTAATGGTTCTAAAGATCTAATTTTAGCAACCTCACAATGATAGAAATATCATAGGAACTGAATATCACTCAGATAGTTTAATGGGGAAAATATTATAATAAGCAACATGTCTAAGTTATTCAAATATTTTCCAGTCGCATGCTCCCAATTATAAGCCTTTAAATTACAATAAGTAAATTATGAGCCTTGTTAGTGGATACATTCTAACAATATAATTTTAAGGGAATGAAATTATCATCTAATTGAAATGCAGTAAAGATACATGGCAATAGAAATAAAAATATTCTAATATCGGAAATTAATTGTGATGAAATTATTTAAATTTCAAAATACAAAGATAATGTAGATGTTCAAATGAAAAATATTCAAATTAAAAATAAAATATTATTTTAATGGAACGGGTAGCCTTCATGAACGGATAACATTCAGATGTATAAAATTTTTATATACCATAATAGTGAATACTTGAAATGCATTAAAACGAAATATACAATTTTCACTGACGAAAAATTAGGGAATATAATGTGATTAACTTTTACTAACTGTGTAGGCAAAAGTTTTTTGTACTGCCATAAGCACGGCAGTTTTTGAATAGCCACGTGCTCAATGTTTGTTTGCACTGCCATTTGTACCATTTTTGCGCAAATTACTGCATTGATTTGAATGTGAACCTCGACTACATGCACTGACATGTGAATCTCAGTTGTGTCCAGTGTGTAACGCATTACAGTTGTCTGCACTGCCGTGTGCACCACACCCTTTATAGCACTGTTATTTCAACTACAGTTATTTGACCTGCCATGTGCACCACTGTTTTTTGCCCTGCCAGGTGTACCACTTTTTTCGCACTTCCATGAGTATTTGAGTTGTCGGTACCGCCGACATGTGCGCCGAGAATCTTCATCTCTTGCTTGTACGGCAAGGCTGGCCAGCTCACAGCTCACAGCTGCTCTGTCAGTGTCATTTCAGAGATGGATCGAGCAAGTCATGGCTTCCCGCCGCTCTCATACTCCTTCTTTTCTTTCCTAGCTGTAAGTAACGAAGTGTTACCAGTGTTTCTATATTTGAAATTGAATAAAGCTAAGGATTATTTTTTATTTAAAATATCATCGTCCCTTTGCACGTGTTTTCGACGTCCCCAGTTTTCTTCTCAGTATGGTGTTGTTCTCCTTCGCTCATACCTCGCAATGTTGACAGCTTGGACTGCTCAAGAACCAATTTCGAACTAGCTGTGTGTTTAATTGTTTATTGTTATATATTTTGTCTCTGTAAACCGTAAGTACAAATATTATTATTGAACTTTCACTAAATGGTGATTCACACTTTGTTTCAGAAAATTCAATGAAATAAATTTCATGATTCGCATTTTCAATTGATTTTTCACGTTGCTGTTTTTTCGTGTAGGCCTAGTTCACAAGTTTGTCAAGTGACCCATATTTTTTTATAACCGTCTACATTTGGCTTGCTTCATTCAAATAGATTTTATTTCTGTCAAGTAATTCGTGTTTCTTGCTGCCGGTACACGTGAGGTATTTCACTCAGAGTCAGACTCAGGTACGGTGACGTATTTCAGAACGCGGTCGTGCTGCCCGACTGGCTTTGTTTCACCATGCGCGATGTGTCTGCATTCTGCAAAATGGTCAAATCTAGTGCAGTTGAATCAGTTTAACTAAGAAAGTGGATATATCTTTATACAATTTGGGCATGATGCTCTAATTTTTCAACATAAAGTAACTTTCCGTGTTTACAGCCTATTTCTCAAATCTCAATTCATTTTTTTTTCATGTAATATTTTAATCGTTGAGTCTATTGACTACTACTCTGTAAGTGGCTATCGAATCGTTGCAATTAAATAATTTCTTTGCAGAAACGAATTGGCGTTATGATTCTTTGTCCGTCGAAATCAAACTATTCTTGATTTGTTTTCCCACTGTAACTTTGGATTGAGTAATCCATTAGTTATAGGTCAGAAAGCTGTTTAGTGCTGCGAGCTGACCCTATACGCCCCAGGGTTGAATTAATAACCATGATACGCCCTACCAGCGCAGCAAGTAGCCTAGTGAGACGTGACGACGCTTGGGTCGAGTCTGTGACGCCAGCCGGCGCACAAGGCTGCACGCGCTCGGGGGCTTTCTGCCCCTCAAGAAAAGTTCAGAAACTTTCATGCGAACTCACATGCGTGAGCTCCGGCTGAATTTCGACTGTGACGGGTGTTCCCAACTTAACGCGTTCTCTGTCCTTAGTATGTGCTGCGGACGTAGCAGTTTCAGGTCACTCTCTGAAACAATTTACTTTATCGTACCTACGCGCATTATCAATAACAATTTATGTAAGCATGCGCGTTATCATAAACTTGTAATTGTATATGCACGCATTCCCGAACGCAATTCAGGCTCTCGTACATACGCGCTTTATAAAAAGAAATTTGTGTTGTCGCAAGTAAGCGCTATATCAAAAATAATTTACTTTGTTGTATATATGCGCATTATCTCAATCAAATTTCCTTGTTGTAAATATGAGCTTTATCGAAGGCAATTTATGTCTCAGCATGAGTACACTTATTAATTTTTCACGTCATTATTTTTGCCACCAAAGAATAAGAGTATGAGTAACTAACTGATGAACGTTCAAATCTCGTTGCATGTGGCTGGAATTTGAACCTATAGTTTTTTTCGGGCCCATACGTTTGTGTTCAGTGCTGCTGATCACGTACAGTGTAGTGACGATCTTGACTACGTCAGATAAATGAGGTTGAATGAATCTGAAGAAACTGAAATATTGAAATTAAGACGTCACAGAATGTGATTCTGGCGCCATGCCCTAGCAAGCCTCCTTTTGGCTATGTGGCGTTGGCTAGTGACTGGTGGCATACTGATTGCTGTAGCATTGTAACATTACTGACCATATTGCTGTGCAGCGTTAGATTACGAATGATGGAAGTGGGTTTTTAACGCGCGTTGTGCAGACTTATTTTGCAAATAATAGAAGTCTGTCCGTTGTAGCGCTCGCTAAAGAATAGAATAGAAATGTCGGCATGTTGCCGATTCTTGTACTTTTCGTGACTTGATTCCACAAATGATGGAAGCAGATGGAAGCCTGTCAGTTGTAGCGCTCGCTGTGATATGTTGGCTTGCAGCTGATGGCGCCGGTCCGTTGCAGCGCTCGCTGTGCAGAGTTTACTTGCAGCTGATAAAGTTGTCCGTTGCAGCGCTCGCGGTGCAGTTTACTTGCAGCTGATAAAGTTGTCCGTTGCAGCGCTCGCTGTGCAGAGTTTTCTTGCAGCTGATAAAGTTGCCCGTTGCAGCGCTCGCGGTGCAGAGTTTCCTTGCAGCTGATAGAGTTGTCCGTTGCAGCGCTCGCTGTGTAGTTTTCTTGCAGCTGATAAAGTTGTCCGTTGCAGCGCTCGCGGTGCAGAGTTTCCTTGCAGCTGATAGAGTTGTCCGTTGCAGCGCTCGCTGTGCAGAGTTTTCTTGCAGCTGATAGAGTTGTCCGTTGCAGCGCTCGCGGTGCAGAGTTAGATTGAAGCTGATGGAAGTCTGTACTTTGTAGCGTTCGCTGTGAAATGTTGGCTGGTCAAAAATCATGAATTTTTGCGCTGGTTGTCAAGTTTTGGCTAGCGTTTGTTGGGAGATCGTGCGTTTTATCAACAGCCGAGTTGAGTGGGATTTCGTCAGGTTGCCGCCGCATCGCGGAGTGGTTGCCTGTTTGCCACAGGCTGCCTCTGCTTGGAGAATTGTTTACAAAGCATCGGCCAATTCCAAACATCGCCATCTGTTGAGCAAGCATGCATGCGCTAGCGACTGATTTAGAGCCAAGCAAATTCTTTATATTTAGGTGAAATTTACAAAGCGCATTAGTTTTCATTTGAATTTAATCCATCTCTAAAATATTCATCCAACAAATCTGCGCATTGGAGCAGTGGATGAATGGATGCGCGACACGTGGATACATTATGTCTGATTTGTCTTACTTCTATTTCAAGAAGTTAAACAGAGAACTAGAATTTTGAACAAGAATTAACCCTGACAGACGATCGCGCGGAATGTTGATGAGTTAGAATAAATATTAGAAGAGGTTTTTATACTTACTACAAGTTAGGAGTTATTTGTGATCGAGGTCGTGCAAAACTCGTGAGTCCTCCACCGGCTATCCCGTCAGTTCGCGACAGGCGTCCACGGGACGCGTTCTTAGTTTACAAAAAAAACTCAATTCATGTGACTTGGCGTACGATATTCAAACTCCTAATTATCACATATTAATCATTGTCATGAAGCTACTCATGGTTCGAAATAACAATTTATTGAGAATTAAAAGAATTTTGTGCTCTCGTGCGAAGCCGATGGATGCTCTGTGAAAATTACTGGTGAGCAGCTCTTATCTCTCTCATGTACGCCGCTAAAATCATTCCTTCAGTGCATCACACCTTAAAATGCTTTGTACATCATACATTTGTACATTAAAAATGTAATGTACCTTCGTGTTAATTAAAAACGAATATCAGGGTCTTTTCGAATTTACTTTTATTTCAATTTAAATTTGCCTCCGCATAATTTGTCACAGAAAGCGGAAAAAATGAATCATTGCATGTGTATAAGCAGCACGTTCCGCACCTAGCTTCCCGCGGTCGGTCCTCTTCTTTCAACGCGATCTGATCTCTTGTACATGAATCTCGAGCTAATATTGCAGCATTTGTTTTGGCAGTCGAATGTCATGTAGCGTGCACCGATTGCCAAATGTCATGTAGCGAGTACTGAATACCCATGTAGCGTGCACTGGTTGCCGAATGACATGTCGCGTGCACTGGTCGCCGAATGCCATATAGCGTGTACTGATTGCCGAATGCCAATATCATGTAGCGTGTGCCGATTGTCGAATGCTACGTGGCGTCTGCCGATTATCGAATGCCAAGTTGCGTGCACAGATGGCCAAATATCATGTAGCATGTACTGATTGCCGAATGTCATGTAGCGTGCATGCTGCGTGCACTGGTCACCGAATGCCATGTAGCGTGCACTGATTGCCGAATGTCATGTAGCATGTACCGATTGCCGAATGCCTTGTAGCGTGTACTGGTTACTGAATGTCATGTAGCGTGCAGTGGTCGCCGAATGTCATGTAGTGTGCACTGGCCGTCGAATGCCATGTGGTGTGTGCTGATTGCCGAATGTTATGTTATGTGGCGTGTGCTGATTTTCGATTGCCTTGTTGTATGTATTGATTGCGAATGTCACGTAACTTATTCTGATTGTCGACTGCCATGTGGCGTGTGCTGATTACCAAACCTGCATAATCACTATTGCTTATGCCGTACGCGCAGTTGAGTACAACTGAGCGTTTAGACTGAACGCAGTGTGACGTGTATATGCAGGTGCGCATGACAACAATTGTCGCCCCCTGCAGCTTCACATGTTGCAGGTGTCGAAGATCTGGAATGCTCCGGTTTCCTTGATACTATCTCTGAAATGTTCTCTTCCGCGTGTAACCTAATAATTCAGGAGCATGTAGATCTGGAAAGCAATCAGTCAAGCTGCGGTTTGCTCTATATTCAGTTCAGTGCGTATGAACCCAGCACGCAAGTGATAAACGTCCTCTAAGTTTATTTGGCACATGCACCATTATTTTAGGCAATTCATTCATCCTAATATTTAGGCTGCAAAATGTCCATTTTATTTAAGTTAATAAAAAGTTTAACCAAGGTTTTCTTTCATGTACTGACTCATGCAGGTATAACGTGTAAAATTGTCATTCAAGGTACGTATGTACCCTGCTACTTCGTGCTACGCTGCTGCTTCTTTGCACGTTGTTTCGTTTCGAGCAGGCTTTGTGCAGCGCATGAAGACAAAGCTCTTACAAATACAGTAGTGCAGGTGAAACCTTTTCATGAAAACGGATCTGAGCGATGCTCGCCTGAAGCATAAATCATATATTGGCATAGTAATGCAACAGTGTCCGCATGCAGATGGTCTCTCATCTATTTTATGTTTCAGATTTGAATGAGCATTGAGTTATGGACTGCATGTGTGCCATACTT